TAATTTCACCCCTAATAGACAATACCCTAGTGGCCTTTGTTTCGTTTTTTTTTTTTGTTTCTGTTGCTTCCTCAATCATAATAAGAGTCTTCTTAATAAGAAGACCCAGCTTAATTACGTTGATGGTTAAAAAAAAAAAATGTTGATGGTTTCATTCTCTTTTCGATCATGTTTTGAGATTATGATAGATTAGGCATCCAACAAAAATAAAATAAAAAATAACATGTTACCTAAAGAAATCATATACGTCCCCCTTAACAAGTAAAAGTCATTAAAAATATATTTATGTATGTGATCTCATTGCTATCTTCTTAGTTTCCATTTATGTCATTAGTGTGATTTACTAATTAATTAATTTTTCGGGTGTCATTTGGAGCTATGGTTTTCAGAAAGTTTTTCTTTTTCATGTTGCCTCCTGAAACATAGAGAACTTTGCTCCAAGTAAGAAAGCAAATATGTGGAATCCGAGGCCGAGTTTAAGGTTTGAGATCGATAACTTCTTGGAGAAAGAATCTGCCATAGCGTCTTATACATTCGTGAGCGGCAGATGCGAATAGTAAAAAAATAATTATTCTCTCTCTACATCGAGAAATGATGTGTTTAATTTGTAGCACTAATGAAAAAACGAGAGGGTTTAATCTTTGTTTTATAATTAATCTTTTAGGTATCTCAACGTTTATCCCAAGGGAAATCGTTTTGCTGATAATCACATATCTTTATACCTTTACGTTGCAAACCCTAAATCATTACGAAATGGATGGAAAAGGAGTGCTGATTTTTATTTCCTTGTGTTAAATCAATCCGACAAAGTGCTGTACAGATCATCAGGTAATGAAGTCATGTCCCTCCATATGTTTGATTTTTGTAATTCTTTATGTTTAGAAACCTATTGGTCCGAGAATGCTTTTAGATGTAAGTAGTGAAAATTGTTTATTTCTGCGGATTGGTAATCTTTAACAACTTCACGGCCAGTAACTAAAACATTCTCATTGAAAAGCCATATATATGAACTAAGAGAAAAACACACTAATTAAGCCGATTTGCTGGAATCTTTGAGATGATCTTGTATAGGATGTTGTTGTACACATAAGAATGCGACTGATGAAGTTTTTTTCTTTATGTTTTATAGTTGCACGCAACATGTTTTGCGCTGAGAGGACGATTTGGGGTCACAGAAAGACCTTGCCTTTAAGCAAGTTACGGGAAAAAGGGGTTTTGGAGAATGACAAGCTCATCATTGAAGTCTACATTTCTAATGTTGTTGTATCAATGAAGGAGGAAATTGTAGAAATCAACGGTTTTCAGGTTTTGGCTTCTCGAGTAAGTTTAAAGGATGTTTTTTGTTCTGTTTTATTGAATTTCTTTATTGGAGTAACATAAACTTATACTTTTCCTTTGTAGGCTACTGTAGTGTCGAAGCTATTCACAGAGCACCCAGACATTGCAAAAGATTTCAATCCAAAGAACCAAGTAGTGAAGCCAGCATATATATATGAATGTTCTCCTCAATCTCATTAAGACACTTAACAAGCCTTCAAAGAATTACTCAGAGACTGAGCTAAGCAAGGCAAGAAGCGAGTTGAGTGAGCTGATGGAAGTAGGTTTCAAGCTGGACTGGTTGAAGTCAAAGCTTGATAAGGTTTCTTTGGAGAGGTTGATGTCAAAGTTTGCGGAGGTTTCTTTGGAAAGGGAGAAAGCGGATTTGGTTCAAAAACTCGAGGAACGCGTCACGAATCTTGAGATGATGGATTTGGGACGCTTGAAGTTAAAGCTTGAAGAGGGTCCCTTCGAAAGGAAGAAAGCAGATGAGTCTAGGATCCAACAACTCGAGGAAAGTGTCAAGAATCTTGCGCTGATTGTGTCAAATCTCAAAGTTGAACTGGAAAAGGAGAAGGCTAAATCATCTGATGATGCTGGATTTTTGTTGGTCGATGAGGTTGCTTGATGTAGTAGCTATTAGTTTATAGACTTAATTTTCTTTAGTAGACACTACACTATAGTGTCCTTTGTTTTGATTTTTCAATCATAATAGTCTTGAGATTCGACTTAATAAGAAGACAGCTGCTTAGTTATGTTGATGGTATCATTCTCTTTTCGTTCATGTTTTGAGAATATGGTCTTTTGCTCGAAGTAACAAAGGCTCAGGATATGAAATCTAACACAACTGATTTTCTAAATGTATCTCTTGGGTTCCTTTGCCATTCCTTGTATAAAATTGATTTCTTTAACATAGTATTACAAACGAAAAATAACACTGGTATAGAGAAAAATCACGCGTTTATGTATTTTTCTTTAACAATATTGTGATTTTTCTTAACAAATTAATTTGCAATACATAACACGTGATTTTTCTTTTACAATTTGTTAAATTTAATGATATATATATATATTTGTTAAATACATTTTTTTTATTTCTTTAGGCGAACATTTTAGATGGAAAGAGAACTCTCTAATTATATATATATTCCGAGAAACATGAAAGCAAAGCTTGAAGAGGCATCCTTAGAGATGAAGAAAGCATATGATGCTGATGGGTCTAGAGTCCAACGACAACTCGAGGAACGCATCAAGAATCTTGAGCTGATGGAATCCAGTTTCAAGATGGACTGTTTAAAGTCAAAGCTTGAGGAGGTTTCCTTGGAAATGAAGAAAGCAGAAACTGATGGATCTCAGGCCCAACAACACGAGGAACGCATCAAAAATCTTGAGCTGATGTTGTCAAATCTCAAACTTGAACTGGACAAGAAGAAGGCCAAATGTTGTGGTGATGGATTTTTGTTGGTCGAGGAGGTTGCTTGATATCTACATGAAGTTGCTAGTTTTTAGTTTTTCTATAGTAGACACAGTCACTGTAGACATTACTATTGCTTTCTTGTTTTGTTTTTATATTGCTTTCTAGTTATAAATTTCTGTAGATTCGGCTTAATAATCATAATTAGAGTTATGTGGATGGTCATTTTTCGATGTTTTGGTTGATGCATGTATATATCATTATGGATTAATGTGTACCGATCCCAAAATTAACATCTCAAATATTCCTAACCGGTGGCTGCAAATGGTAAAAGGAGAAGAAAATAACCGGTGGCTCAATTATAAAACTAATAACACCATCAATTTGATCAAATATTCTCAATAAGAAAATAACCGGTGGCTCACTTATTATCGAGCTTATGTTGACTTGATATGTCTACCGTGTTATACAAGAAACCTAGTGGAGATATATAGGGAGGGTTATTGGGACCAGAATTTTAAAAGAGTATATTGCAAGATATTGACTCTTTCAACGTTTCCATTAAGGGTATATTGCAAAAGATGTTCGAGAAGCCTATTTTTCCACCAATTAAGCTTTAAACAAGATAAGGAAACACACGTTCCGTAACAAGAAAAGATCAGTAAATAAAAATATTTGTCACCTCTTTGCTATTTTCTTAATTTGCATTTATGTTATTAATGAGTTACTATGAAAAAAGGAATAA